ATTGACAACCCATATTCGCGTTGGTTGCAAGGATTTATTTGTTTTGTGCAGGTACGAGGGACTCGCGCGTAGCCTCCTACTGGATTGATACCTTGGTTCTCAAAAACTGAGGGAAATACTTACGCTACTTTGCTGCATCATCCCTTCCTCTTCGGGGAAAACCAACACAGTGCTCAAGAGGTAGCAAGTGTCAACTTTGCATACATGTGGATTGTTTTAAGAATATGTTTTGTGATAACTATATTGTGATCCTACATGTAATTATTATGAGGGAGGAACATATGATCGTAGGAATTGCAATAATATCAAGTTTCCTCTCTACATGTTGAAAATCTTGAAGCTATGCTTGTTTTGCCTTCCTATGCTAGTTGATTATTGTTCCCATAAGTTGTTTGCTCACAAAATCCCTATGCATAGGAAGCGGGTTAGACTTAAATGTGCTAGTCATATTCTCCATGATGCTCTCTTTATGTTTCAATTCTTATCTTTTATGTGAGCATCATTGAAATCATCATGCCTAGCTAGGGGCGTTAAACATTAGCGCTTGTTGGGAGGCAACCCAATTTTATTTTTGTTCTTTGCTTTTTGCTCCTGTTTAGTAATAAATAATTCATCTAGCCTCTGTTTACATGTGGTTTTATGTTTTAATTAGTGTTTGTGCCAAGTAGAACCTTTGGGAAGACTTGTGTGAAGTCTTTGCGATCTTGCTGTAAAAAACAGAAACTTTTATGCTCACGAGATTTGCTGCCATTTTTTACTGGAAAATGCGATTAGGTTGATTATTTTTGCAGATGATTAATAGACAAATCCCTCAGGTCCACCAATTTATTTCAGAATTTTTGGGTTACAGAAGTATTAGAAACGTCCATATTGCTATAGACTGTTCTGTTTTTGACAGATTCTGTTTTCCATGTGTTGTTTGCTTATTTTGATGAATCTATGAGTAATATCGGAGGGTATGAACCATAGAGAAGTTGGAATATAGTACATATTGCACCAATATGAATTTAGAATGAGTTAACAACAGTACCTAAGTGGTGATTTATTTTCTTATACTAACGGAGCTTACGAGTTTTCTGTTGAGTTTTGTGTTGTGAAGTTTTCAAGTTTTGGGTAAAGATTCGATGGACTATGGAATAAGGACTGGCAAGAGCCTAATCTTGGGGATGCCCAAGGCACCCCAAGGTAATATTCAAGGACAACCAAGAGCCTAAGCTTGGGGATGCCCCGGATGGCATCCCCTCTTTCGTCTTCGTTCATCGGTAACTTTACTTGGAGCTATATTTTGATTCACCACATGATATGTGTTTTGCTTGGAGCATCATTTTATTTTATTTTGTTTTTCTTTCTATTTGAATAAAATACCAAGATCTGAAATTCTTAAATGTTAGAGAGTCTTCACATAGTTGCATAATTATTCGACTACTCATTGATCTTCACTTATATCTTTCAGAGTAGTTTGTCATTTGCTCTAGTGCTTCACTTATATCCTTTTAGAGCACGGCGGTGGTTTTATTTTGAAGAAATAGATGAACTCTCATGCTTCACTTATATTATTTTGAGAGTCTTTTAGAACATCATGGTAATTTGCTTTGGTTATGAAACTAGTCCGAATATGATAGGCATCCAAGATGGGTATAATAAAAACTTTCATATAAAGTGCATTGAATACTATGAGAAGTTTGATACTTGATAATTGTTTTGAGATATGAAGATGGTAATATTAGAGTCGTGCTAGTTGAGTAATTTTGAATTTTATAAATACTTGTGTTGAGGTTTGCAAGTCCCGTAGCATGCACGTATGCTAACCGTTGTGTGACAAATTTGAAGCATGAGGTGTTTCTTTGATTGCCTTCCTTATGAGTGGCGGTCGGGGACGAGCGATGGTCTTTTCCTACCAATCTATCCCCCTAGGAGCATGCGCACAGTGCTTGGTTTTTGATGACTTGTACATTTTTGCAATAATTATGTGAGTTCTTTATGACTAATGTTGAGTCCATGGATTATACGCACTCTTACCCTTCCATCATTGCTAGCCTTTTCGGTACCGTGCATTGCCCTTTCTCACCTCGAGAGTTGGTGCAAACTTCCCCGGTGCATCCAAACCCCGTGATATGATACGCTCTATCACAAATAAACCTCCTTATATCTTCCTCAAAACAGCCACCATACCTACCTATTATGGCATTTCCATATCAATTTCGAGATATATTGCCATGCAACTTTCCACCGTGCCGTTCATCATGACACACATCATCATTGTCATATTGCCTTGCACGATCATGTAGTTGACATCGTATTTGTGGCAAAGCCACCATGCATAATTTATCATACATGTCACTCTTGATTCATTGCCCATCCCGGTACACCGCCGGAGGCATTCATATAGAGTCATATTTTGTTCTAGTATCGAGTTGTAATCATTGAGTTGTAAATAAATATAAGTGTGATGATCATCATTAATAGAGCATTGCCCCAAAAAAAAAGATAAAGGCAAAAGAAAAAGAAAAAAAAGAAAGGCCAAATAATAATAATAAAAAGGGGCAATGCTACTATCCCTTTTCCACACTTGTGCTTCAAAGTAGCACCATGATCTTCATGATAGAGAGTCTCTTATATTGTCACTTTCATATACTAGCGGGAATTTTTCATTATAGAACTTGGCTTGTATATTCCAACAATGGGCTTCCTCAAATGCCCTAGGTCTTCGTGAGCAAGCAAGTTGGATGCACACCCACTTAGTTTCTTTTATTGAGCTTTCATACATTTATAGCTCTAGTGCATCCGTTGCCTGGCAATCCCTACTCCTCGATTGAAATCAATTGATGGGCATCTCCATAGCCCGTTGATTAGCCGCGTCAATGTGAGACTTTCTCCTTTTTTGTCTTCTCCACACAACCCCCATCATTATATTCTATTCCACCCATAGTGTTATGCCCATGGCTCACGCTCATGTATTGCGTGAAAGTTAAAAAAGTTTGAGATTACTAAAGTATGAAACAACTGCTTGGCTTGTCATCGGGGTTGTGTATGATGAGAGCACTTTTGTGTGACGAAGATGAAGCATAGCCAAACTATATGATTTTGTAGGGATGAGCTTTCTTTGGCTATGTTATTTTGAGAAGACATAATTGCTTGGTTAGTATGCTTGAAGTATTATTATTTTTATGTCAATATTAAACTTTTGTCTTGAACCTTATGGATCTGAATATTCATGCCACAATAAAGAAAATTACATCCATAAATATGTTAGGTAGCATTCCACATCAAAAATTCTGTTTTTATCATTTACCTACTCGAGGACGAGCAGGAATTAAGCTTGGGGATGCTTGATACGTCTCCAACGTATCTATAATTTTTGATTGTTCCATGCTATTATATTGTCAACCTTGGATGTTTTATATGCATTTATATGCTATTTTATATGATTTTTGGGACTAACCTATTAACCTAGAGCCCAGTGCCAGTTTTTGTTTTTTCGTTGTTTTTGAGTATCGCAGAAAAGGAAAACCAAATGGATTCCAATTGACCTGAAACTTCATGGAGATCATTTTTGGACCAGAAGAAGCCCACGGAGTACCGGAGATGGGCCAGAAGAGTCCCGTGGCCACCATGAGGGTGGGGGCGCACCCTACCCCCTGGGCACGCCCCCTACCTCGTGGCTGCCTCGGGGACCCCCTGACTTGTTCCCGACTCCAACACCTCTTATATAACCCAAAATTTCCAAAAAGAAACCTAGATCGGGAGTTCCACCACCCCAAGCCTTTGTAGCCACCGAAAACCAATCTAGACCCGTTCCGCCACCCTGCAGGAGGGGGGGAATCCCTCTCCGGTGGCCATCTTCAGCATCCCGACGCTCTCCATGACGAGGAGGGAGTAGTTCTCCCTCGGGGCCGAGGGTATGTACCAGTAGCTATGTGTTTGGTCTCTCTCTCTCTCTCTCTCTTGTGTTCTTGATGTGGCACGATCTTGATGTATCGCGAGCTTTGCTATTATAGTTGGATCTTATGATGTTTCTCCCCCTCTAATCTCTTGTAATGGATTGAGTTTTCCCTTTGAAGTTATCTTATCGGATTGAGTCTTTATGGATTTGAGAACACTTGATGTATGTCTTGCATGTGCTTATCTGTGGTGACAATGGGTTATCACGCGATCTACTTGATGTATGTTTTGGTGATCAACTTGCGAGTTCCGTGACCTCGTGAACTTATGCATAGGGGTTGGCACACGTTTTCGTCTTAACATTCCGGTAGAAACTTTGGGGCACTCTTTGAAGTTCTTTGTGTTGGTTGAATAGATGAATCTGAGATTGTGTGATGCATATCGTATAATCATACCCACGGATACTTGAGGTGACATTAGGGTTTTGGTTGATTTGTGTCTTAAGGTGTTATTCTAGTACGAACTCTTGAATAGATCGATTAGCACTACACCACAACACTACATCCCCAACAGCCAGGTTGGTGGGGAATACAACTTGTTCCAACAGACAGTCGGTCGGCGACTGCTTGATGGCTATGGAATATCTTTCCCGACCAACAGCCTGTTGGGCCTACCATGGGCCTTTCCCGACCAACAGTCTGTTGGGGCAGCTACGGGCCTTTCCCGACCGACTATTGGATAGGGTATTCTTTCCCATTCAACATTCTGTTGGGCCTAGCATTAGTCTTTCCCAACCGACTACAAGACGGGGTTTCTTTTGCCAACCAACAATCAGATGGGTTTTTTTTTTTTGCCGAACAACAATTCATTAGCATTTTGTTTAGCCAACCACAACTTCAATTAACATATGGTACTGATTGTCACATACATATAGTTAATGTGCTCTAAGCATAATCACCCAAACACCATACATCAGGCTCACATCGGGACCATCAAACATTTTTTATTCCATTAAGTAATTGACACATACATACATTTCAATCTGTTCTAAACAAAACCACTGAGACACCATACATCAGGTTTACAAAAGGACAGCCAAAAGATGCAAGTATGAGACATCAGTTGTACAAAATGAAAGCTAAAACATCTAGTTGACGTGGATCGTTGGCTTCATGGTTCCTTGTGAGTGTAGTCGTTCTGTTTGCTTCCTGCAAAAGTTAATCAATTCGCAATTATAATACACTATTAGAAACTATACTACAGTACCAAAATCAACATACAGGATCATCGCATTCTCAAAAATATAAATAGTAATAAATACAGAGAATTCAATAATCATGTGTTAACAGTAACGTTGATCCTCAGTTGAGATTGTTAGCACTAATCTCAATATTTTGTCTCCGCGTACTTATTTTGCTTTCGTTATGCATGTAACATAGATGGTCTACGAGAATATAGTTGTCGAAGCTTAAATCGAGTGGGCGGAGGAGGTGAGATACCGGGCTGCCGTGCGATGCGGCGCGCATGGTGAGATGCCGATGGCGGTGTGAAGCCGCGATGCTGTGCGATGCAGCACGCCCTGTGAAGCGGCAAGGCGCTTGACGACTGGAATGGCTGGACAAATATCAGCTAGAGGAGAATAGGCAAGTTAGTTTGTTTGTTAGCTGCATGGCTGCTGACCAGGTGTGTGGCCGTTAAGTGGAGCTGCGCAAGTGGACATGCATGCATGTAGGGATTACCAAGTGCATGGAGTTAGTTGTGTGAGTGGGCGTGAGTTAGTGCCTAGACGTGACGTTAGTGGCCGGATGTGGCGCCTGAGTGGTGCGTGAAGGTTAGCTCCCCATGTATATATAAGTTACAATGAGAAAAGAGAAAAGAGGCTGAGAGGGCTCGAGGAAAAATGAAGCATATGTGCTTTTCACCAGGAGACAAGGCAAAGTTAGTTTTCTCCATGGTGAAGTGTTTGTGTGTGTGTTTTCTGCCCTGGTGTGCGTGTCCTTGTGTTATTGAGAGAAGATAGAAACCACAAGAGAGATGTGAGAGGAAGAAGAGGTGCTGCCAGAGGCAGCGCCAACAGAGATCACCCCAGCCGGCCCACCATCTCCATAAGGATTTGATAGGTCAGCAAAGGCATTTGTTTCTTCTCTTTAAAAATAAGATATATTATTCTATTGGCATAGGCAAAAAATTGGAGTGCGCATGATCTTGAGGTAGCAGAAGAGTTTGAAGCATCTATTTGTGTTTATAAATTAATTCTGTAATATATAAATCATTGATTCGTCTGCATTTGTGTTACTGCCAGCATCTCATTCTGAACAGTCTACAGTTTGTGAAACCATTCTCATTGCAAAATTGCCAAAAACTAATAAGAAAACCCAACCTTCTTTTTAAAGGGACCTGCTTATCCACTAACTACAGTTACCTGAATAATTTTAGCATTCAAATTAGTAGCATTACCAAGCTTGGGTTCAATAAATAATTTTACATCAACTTAATTCAAAAGGATCAATCTAATATAGTATGCATATTAAGAAGTTACATCAGTTTGCAATGAACATCATTCCTATCCGCAGCAAGAGTTTTCAATGTGCACAAACCTTGACAAATGATGTCCGGTCGTCGGCTTGCCTCTCACCATACCAGGATGTGCGCCACTCAAAATTCCTGAACAATAGTGGTTGCTATTCAACCGAAACAGGAGGATTCAGGCTAACCAGCTGAAGCAGAATAAAAGATGCACCAAAACAAGCTAGAAACGATGTGCACACGTCAGCATGCATCCTTACAAAAGGAGCACGTAAGAGATTTCTTTTTACCAAAACGAATAAGAGAAAAGAATGGCGCTGAACTAAACAAAGGGAAGTAACCATAAGTTGAGCAATATTGTTAAAAACGACAATCAACAAAACTCATTGGAATAAGACTTAAATTACATGGTCGAATAAGATCTCCTTATCTCGATGAATCTCAAACTGGTATTTTGATATCTCAATAAATCTGAGATTCAGAGTTTCTAAAAGCTGCAATAATGCTTTACAAATTAGAGCTTACCTAAAAGTAAAGAATATCTTGCCCAGAAGCCGAGATAGGGACTCATTGAGTATGAGTATGACTATAAACTGCAAACTGCACGCTAGCTCTAATCTTGGTTGAAAGTTTTGAGAGCCAATTCTGAAGGCATCAGACTGCCAGTACCTGCAACATCTCAAGTAATATGAATACCAGTTTTGTGTAAATCATGTACTAACATTAAAAATCAATGTTGAATTTACACAACCATACTGTCAGCAACAAAGGCATGAATGAAACAAAAAGAATGTGGCCTATCTTATAATAGTAGGAAGAGCAACATAAATCCATATTCTCCTTGCAATGTGGCTTATCTAATAAAAGTACGAAGAGCAAAATAAATCTATGTTCTCCCAGCATTCTATGGTGCATGTTCTGCCTTGTTTGTGAGCAGAAGAATATGCAGGCTACTGTGAAAGTCAAGCTGTGCCTAACAATAAACATTCCAAGTTTCAGATAGGATATGAACCAAGAAAGTACTGATTTTCTATACAGACATCACACTTGTGGTGTGATTTCCGCGAAGAGGTGCAAGTTGTTGGCGGCGTGGGATGGCTCGTGCGTGCGTGCGTGCGTGAAGTAATGAATTTTCATATGATGAATACCCTTGTATTGACCTTCAGGCACACATAGCATAATATGATAGTCTGGCAAGGCACACATAGCACACAAACTACAACTCACAAGCTCTAAAGTTCACAAATCAATCACAACCAGTTCATAAAAAATAGTAGCTAATTTAGGTTTCCTGCAACACTATTGAAAGGAATACCTGTAGCATAGATTCTTTTTTTCAGTAATAGCATCAAGCTTGTTCTTCTCAAGTTCTCATATCCAGAAATCACACGAGATGTACCTCTTAGACTGCATTGCCGGCTACCCCATTAGCAGATAGAGCCCCTGTTTTTGATGCTCTGCTTGTTGCTTGAGCTCGAGCTCACATCCAAAACGATGCTTGCTGGATAGAAGTACTATTCCAAGTCATGGCTGATCTGAACGGAAAAGGGAAAAGCAAATAAATCAACTAACGGCAGCACCGATTGGGAATGGGTGGAGAGGGAGAGGAGAGAGAAAAGAACGCACACCACCGGTGGGAGGGGAATCACCAGCAGTCAACGACCAGATCCTTCTTCGAACGAACCGGCGAACGCAGATCGGAGGAAGCCCATGGCATGGTGGCGGTGGTGGCGGCCCCTGGGTGACGACTGACGAGCGAGGGCGCGAGTGATCTCTCTCGCAGGTGACCCACCTCTCCCTCCCCCCTCCCTCTCTCAGCCCCGGATCTGAGAGGGATGGCGGCGTCCACCACCGCGCCTTGGCCTCTCCCCGAACTCTAGCGCAGGGTTAGTAGTGTTTGGGGCCTAAGCAGTGGGGGTGCAGGAGGATGAAGGAGACAGGTGACGGCGTGGTGGAGACGGTGGGCGGTCGGCGGCGTGCGGGCGGCTAGCTAGCGGGCGGCGGCGGAGGGACTGCGTGAGAGGATTTAGGTTTGGGGGATTTGGATTTGGTCGTGGGCTCGTGGCACCTATCGAAGGCCGAATGAAAAAATAGGAAGGAGGCTTGGCGCTAAGTTTTTGGCCCGCGCGCGCAAAGACGGGCCGGACAATTGGCGATGAGCAGTCGGTCGGCATTAATCCCCGACCAACAGTCTGATGGAGATGTAAGCTTTCCCGACCGATAGTTCAACGTGAAACATTCAAGTATTGCCGACCGACGGTTGGACACAATACATCAGTATTATCGACTAACAGTTAGATAGAAGTTTTCTCGACCAACAATCTGTTGGCAAAATTGACTTTTCCCAACACACATCGGTAGGGAAATCTAGTGCGTGGTGTAGTGTAGAAAGAATAACTTTCAGGTGGTTTCGTACCCTACAATAATCTCTTCGTTTGTTCTCCGCTATTAGTGACTTTGGAGTGACTCTTTGTTGCATGTTGAGGGATAGTTATATGATTCAATTATGTTATTATTGTTGAGAGAACTTGCACTAGTGAAAGTATGAACCCTAGGCCTTGTTTTCTAGCATTGCACTACCGTTTGTGCTCACTTTTACCACTTGTTACCATGCTGTTTTTATATTTTCAGATTAGAAAAACCTATATCTACCATCCATATTGCACTTGTATCACCATCTCTTCGCCGAACTAGTGCACCTATACAATTTACCATTGTATTGGTTGTGTTGGGATACAAGAGACTCTTTATTATTTGGTTGCAGGGTTGCTTGAGAGAGACCATATTCATCCTACGCCTCCCATGGATTGATAAACCTTAGGTCATCCACTTAAGGGAAATTTGCTACTGTCCTACAAACCTCTGCACTTGGAGGCCCGACAACGTCTACAGGAAGAAGGTTGTGTAGTAGACATCACAACGTTTGATGTGTGAAGAGGCAGAGCAATGTCTTGGCACACGGTTTGGCCACGCTGACCAGGAGCACATGCAACCAAGAGATGATCTCAGATGTCCCGCATAGCTTACGACCTCTGATGACATCTGAATGTAATGTGCTCTCTGAGTAGAAAGTTTCTACTCTAATCTAAAAAAGAATATTTAGGCAGATGGCGAGGGAGAGGGAGGGGCAGATCTGGGTGCAGGAGCATGCATACTAGAACTTGAACTCCGGGAGCCTCCTGATGAAGTGCTTGAACTTGCCGGATCCATGGTTGGGGAGGGCGTGCCCGTCGTGGGCGGTGGAGTGGTCGAGCTCGAGGTCGACCATGGGGGCGAGGAAGCCGATGGGGAGGTAGATCCTGAGACGACGGCGGCGACGACGAGCGTGCCGGCGTGGGCGGCAGCGACGACGATCGTGCCGACGTGGGCGGTGGCAGCGGCGACGAGTGTGCCGGCGTGGGTAGCGGCCGCGTGGAGATTGTGGGGGGAAGTAGCTCGACCGAGGAGTGGGGTGAGATTGGTGAGAGAGAGATTTTTTTAGGTTTCGCGAGAGAGAGTTTGGTGGGGTGGATGGTGCGGCGGTGGACACGCTCAGTAGTAGCGTGGGTCTCTCACCTGCGCTTTAGCTATTCACTTAGTAGTAGCACTGGTTTTACAACCTACACTACTACTATGTTTTGTCTCCTAGGGATATATATTAATAGCGTGTGTTTTTTTGACGAGCGCTACTAGTAATTAGCATTAGCGTGGGGTAATATAGCGTGCTACTAGTAAGCGTCTACCTATAAGCTATTTCCCAGTAGTGATCCCATCTTGGGGCCTTTTCCGGTGATCTGCCGGAGGGGGAATCGATCATGAGGGGATTCTACATCAACACCATTGCATCCCCGATGAAGCGTGAGTAGTTTACCACAGACCTTCGGGTCCATAGTTATTAGCTAGATGGTTTATTCTCTTTCTTTGATTCTCAATACAAAGTTCTCCTCGATGTTCTTGGAGATCTATTCGATGTAATACTCTTTTGCGGCGTGTTCACCGAGATCCGATGAATTGTGGGTTTACGAACAAGATTATCTATGAATATTATTTGGTTCTTCTCTGAATTCTTATATGCATGATTTGATATCTTTGCAAGTCTCTTTGAATTATCAGTTTAGTTTGGACTTCTAGATTGATCTTTCTTGCAATGGGAGAAGTGCTTAGCTTTGGGTTCAATCTTGCGGTGTCCTTTCCTAGTGATAGTAGGGGAAGCAAGGCATGTATTGTATTGTTGCCATCAAGGATAAAAAGATGGGCTTTATATCATATTGCTTGAGTTTATCCCTCTACATCATGTCATCTTGCTTAATGCATTACTCTGTTCTGATGAACTTAATACTATAGATGCATGCTGGATAGCGGTTGATGTGTGGAGTAATAGTAGTAGATGCAGAATCGTTTCGATCTACTTGACACGGACGTGATTCCTATATTCATGATCATTGCCTTATATATCTTCATAACTATGCGCTTTTCTATCAATTGCTCGGCAGTAATTTGTTCACCCACCGTAATACATGCTATCTTGAGAGAACCACTAGTGAAACCTATGGCCCCCGGGTCTCTTTCTTATTATATTGCATCTCTTTTATTTACATCACATCTCGTTTACTATTTTGCAATCTTTACTTTCCAATCTATACAACAAAAATACCACAAATATTTACTTTACTATCTTTATTAGATCTCACTTTTGCGAGTGACCGCGAAGGGATTGACAACCCCTTTATCGCGTTGGTTGCAAGGTTCTTGATTGTTTGTGTAGGTACTAGGTGACTTGTGCGTTGTCTCCTACTGGATTGATACCTTGGTTCTCAAAACTGAGGGAAATACTTACGCTACTTTGCTGCATCACCCTTTCCTCTTCAAGGAAAAACCAACGCATGCTGAAGAGGTAGCACTCAGTAAGTGGTATCTGATGGTTTTCATCTTATAAATCAAAGCTCACTTCAGGAGGATTATTTGTAGGCAAGAAATTAAAGATCCAAACAAAGATGTTTCTGAGGATTTGGTGCTGGTCACACTCATCTGTGATGAAGTCGGTGAGGCCGGCGTTGGTAATATATTGCGTGAACTCCTCAAGAATTCCAGTCTTTTGCAGGAATGGGTGTGCGACCATTCGCACGGCCGTACCTCCACCAACCTCCGAGGGTGGAGATCAGTGTCAGAAGACTCCCCAATAACACCCTTGGAGTTTTTCTTAGAGCCAAACTTCCTGAAGATATTCATGTCCGTGTACAATTTTCTGAAAAAATAAAAAAATTGAAGTGACAAAAATTTGTCAACAAAACTTTGTAAGATTGATAGCAACTACTCATAGGGATACATAGAGGCCATAGCAGGCATTCAAACTACTTAGAACACTAAGAATTTAACATGAAAGCACATCTACAGCAGCACCAAGAGTAGCTAATTAGTCAAAGTATAAACCACTAAAACAAAAACTAATTGGACAAATGGTGGAGTTACATACCAAGCAACAATCCCCCGAAACAGTTTCAGAAACGGAGCTTCGAGCAAAGAGATCGAAATCCGCGGGTTTGAGCTCAAGAACACGGGAGAGAGAGCAATGGGGATTTTTTCTGGAGGTAAGTGATGATTTGCTACGAAGAGGTAAGTGAGGGGGCCCACGTAGAGACCACAGCCCACCAGGGCGCGCCTGGGGGTCCTGGCGCGCTTAGGTGGGTTGTGCCCACCTGGTGCACCTCCCTCTGATGTTTATTGCACCAAAAATTCTCAAATATTCACAAAAAATCGTATTAAATTTTCAGGGCATTCTGAGAACTTTTATTTTTGGGTCATTTCTTATTGCACGGGAAATTCAGAAAATAGACAAAACATGGCATTTTATTTTATTAAACTAATAAAAACATAAAATAAAAAGTAGGGACAGAAGGTAGTGCTTACTAAATTCATCAACTTCATACTGTTAAAAAATGATCCATTAATAAGGTTGATCAGGTCTTATTAACAACCACTTTGGATTAGCATGAAATCGAAGAACTTTCGTAAATCACTAAGTTACCTCAATGGGGATATGCATTTCCCCAACAATAAGCATTTCATATTTCTTTTTGATAGTAGGTAGAGGTATTTGAAAACTTCCAATAGTTTGTCGGAGATTTTTCAATAACATTAATACCATTCACTTGGAATTGTTTCTTCGGAAAGTGCACCATATGCTCATTGCCATTAATATGAAAAGTGATCTTGCTTTTATTGCAATCAATAACAGCCCCTGCAGTATTTAAGAAGGGTCTACCAAGGATAATCGACATGTTGTTGTCCTCGGGCATCTCAAGTATAACAAAGTGAGTCAAAATAGTAACATTAACAACAACAATGGGCATATCCTCACAGATACCGATAGGTATGGTAGTTGATTTGTAAACCATTTGCAAACATATTTCAGTAGATGTGAGTTTATTCAAGTCAAGTCTTTTATATAAAGAGAAAGGCATAACACTAACACCAACTCCTAAATCACATGAAGCAATTTTAACATAATTCTTTTTGATAGAGCAAGGTATAGTTGGTATTCTCGGATCTCCAAGTTTTTTAGGTACTCCATCTTTAAAAGTGTAATTAGCAAGCATAGCGGAGATTTCACCTTCCGGTATTTTTCTCTTATTTGTGATGATGTCTTTGATATATTTTGCATAAGGAGGCATTTTCAAGATATCAGTCAAGCGAGTACGCAAAAAGACTGGCCTCAGCATTTCAGCAAAGCGTTCAAATTCTTCATCATCATTCTTTTTAGTTGTCTTAGGTGGAAAAGGCATAGGTTTTTGAACCCATGGTTCTCTTTATTTACCATGTTTTCTAGCAACAAAGTCTCTTTTGTCATATCTTTTATTTTTAGGTTGTGGGTTATCAAGATCAATAGGTGGTTCTATCTCAACATCATTATCGGTTCTTTTTCATTGGTTGGCTAAGAGTTTTCATGAACCTCATGATTATCTTTTTATTATCATGAGGTGAGTGTTCATTACCAGATTGAGTTTTAGCATCAGCGACAGAAACTTCATTATCATTATCAGGAGCTTTCTCTATTTCAGGTTCACTAGGAGCATGCAAAGTCCTATCATTTTTCTTTTTCTTCTTGTTTTTAGAAGGACTAGGTGCACTAGTGTTAGCTCTTTGTGAATCTTGGTCAATTCTTTTAGGGTGTCCCTCAGGATAAAGTGGTTCTTGAGTCATTTTACCTCGTCTAGTTGCAACTCTAACAGCAAAGTCATGCATATTATGATTCATTTCATCAAGTAGTTCTCTTTGAGACTTAGCCACTTGTTCTAATTGAGTTTGAACCATATAAGCATGTTTTCCAACACCTCTAACATAAATTGATATTCTAAATAACAAGTCACTCAAGCGAGCAATCATATCATAATCATATTTCAATTGTTTCATAACATTTGCATTGAAGTGATCTTGTTTTCTAATGTAGTTTTCAAACTCATAAAGGCATTGACTAGGATGCATATTGTGAGGATTATCATTATCGTTAAACTTCATAAGAGAATTTACCTCTACCACCTAGGCATTGGTGGTGTATTAAGCCCATGTATTTCTTCAATAGGAGGTAAAATTTTAACATCCTTAGCTTTAATACCTTTTTCCTTCATAGATTTATTTGCCTCTTGCATATCTTCAGAACTGAGATATAATATACCCCTCTTCTTTGGAGTGGCTTCAGGTGGTGGTTCAGGAATAGTCCAATCATCATAATTTTCAGTATGTTATTCAATAATTCTTCAGCTTGTCCAACAGTTCGTTGATACGTCTCCAACGTATCTATAATTTTTGATTGCTCCATGCTATATTATCTACTGTTTTGAATGTTTATGAGCTTTATTATACACTTTTATATCATTTTTGGGACTAGCCTATTAACCCGGAGCCCAGTGCCAGTTTCTGTTTTTACCCTGTTTTAGGGTTTCGAAGAAAAGGAAAATCAAACGGAGTCCAATTGACCTGAAACTTCACGGAACTCATTTTTGGAAGGAAAGAAGCCTAGAAGACTTGGAGTGCACGTCGGGGGACCTGCGAGGAGCTCACGAGGCAGGGGGCGCGCCCACCCCCCTGGGCGCGCCCTCCACCCTCGTGGCCCCCCTGACGTACTTCTTCCGCCTATATATCTCCATATACCCTAAAAACATCCGTGAGCACAATAGATCGGGAGTTCCGCCGCCAGAAGCCTCCGTAGCCACCAAAAGCCAATCTAGACCCGTTCCGGCACCCTGCCGGAGGGGGCAATCCCTCACCGGTGGCCATCTTCATCATCCCGGT